TAGGTGAGGGTCTCTGTGTAGCAGCTGTAAAGGGACATTCTTTAGTTCTAACTCTTCAGCCAGCTAGCGTTTTGGCCGTTGTATCTTTGGTGCAGATTAGAATAGTCTCAGTTAAGCCTGCAGGCAGCAATAAGGCTACTAGATGGCTGTATGGTCAGCTCCTAAAGGGTCAGTCTCTCTAGCGGCAGATAGTAAACCCCAACAGCAGAAGCGGTCCAAGTCCAAGTGATATTGCAGTTTACCATCCGTTCATACATAGCAATTAGTTGACTCCCAATGTTCTGCACCCAGGTGAGTCTGGCCAGCAGCACCCCTTAACCCTGCATCCCACTTAGGCCTCCAAAATGCAGCAGTGGTGGTGCACACTGGACAGGGATGTGCATTCTCCAGTCTCCCTCACGGCAAAAGGAAGCTGTGTCCTATACAGCCTGATAAAATTTAACTTTTTTTCCTTTCCTCCTACCAATCACTTTCTGGGAAATGTAGTTGAAAAGCTTTGATTACAGTAGAGTCTCTTTTCTCTGGATTACAGGCCCCACAATGTAGTGCTTCCTGACTAAGGTCTATTGAACCCTTCCTGCTCTTCTTAGCCAACCACATGGCTACAGCTCTATTTCTGGTCACCTGACATTACAGATCACATCTCCACATCTCTCAAGACCAAACACAAAGAACGCATAGGAAATCCTCCCTGCATTCTGCCTTGGAGTTCAGAAGCTGTGCTATGGAGGATCTATTACAGCACCTTTTCCCCCCACCACACTTTACTTTCCTGTTTTATTAAGGGGCAGTAAAGGGCATAGCCAACCTCTGGAGAAAGGTCTGGTCACAGCCTGAAGTGATATGCTAGGCTTGCAAAACAATTACACCCTAAAGACAATTGCCTTAAAGTAGATAAAGCTAGATAATCCTAAAAATCCTCCCCCCCCAACATCTATTCTATCTAACTTGTGTAAAAATGATCTGTGTACTTAGCTGTTTTCAGGCTGCTCCGGTCCAGTCCGGTCTCCTCAGTGTCAACCAGTGCCAGTTGCAAGAGAGAAGAGAGTGCACTTGACAACACCTGGTAATGCCTGAGCACATAGGCTTACTATGGATCATCCATTGTCGGTGCTCCCTCCTCTTCCCTGAAGCCGCTGCTAACTGACATTGGGGAACCAATCGCATGACTGGACTGGAGCAGCCTGAAGATAGATACATATACATATCTTTCTTACACAGGTTAGTTACAATAGGTGTTGGGCGGACGAAAGGAACATTTTTTAAGATTAGTTAACTTTATTCTGGAATTCTACTTTAAGCATGCCACACAGGGCTAAAATATCTGACAAGTCTTGCTGATCTATCTCCACTTTTCTAAACAAATTATTTGCAAACTGAATAGGAGGAATTACACAAGAGCAGATCTTTAGGCTTTAAAACTAAATTTTTTTAAATAAAGGTCAAAAATATTTTTCAACATGTTTTTCATTTATTTTCTATCAGGTAAATATAAAAATATTGTATGCTACATTTCATGTCCAAGCAGGTACAGCTCTCTGCCCCTTTTCCAATTTGCATCTATTTACAGCCTATCTGTTATTTACAGACCTCAGTATCTGAAGCTGAAATTTACAAACAGCTGAATGACTCTCAGCAGTGACTCATCTCTTGGCTCAGTTCAAAGTTTCAGTCAGACAACGCAAGCCTCAAGGCAGGCAGCTTTTGGTGTGTTGTATCTTCAGATAGCACACAGTGCTTTGGGAATCATTTGTCGTGTTTTAAAGGTTTATTTTTAAAAACACAGAATGTATACATTTAATAAAAACATGTAAAAAAAAACAACACAAATTTAGAAATGTAAAAAAAAAAAAACTAAAGGAACTGCGACCCAATACCATTATAGTTTCCATGTAAAATGGTTCTAAACGCAAAGCCATTCATAGAAAAATGGATAGCTAAACCAGAATATAGTAAACTATGTGAATGTACAAAAAAAAAAAACATACATTCATCAGAAAAAGAAAAATGATGTAAATGCAACTCTACTGCCTGTCTTATCTAGTAAGTATTTATTGCTGGTTTAAGTGGATAGAATGGAGTATTAAGGCTTGCTGTTTTCCTGCTTTCCAGTCTGGATGATGGCTAGGTGCCAACACAATCTGAAATGTCCACCAAAGTGCTGGGCATCCTGACTCAAGACATTCTGAAGATAGTGTTAAACATTTAAGCCTTAAGATAATATTACTCTGCAGGTGTCCCATGAAAATGTGCAAGGGTTGGCACTTTCACTGACACCGTGCTGTCACACCAGCTTTGGGATTAATGTGCTGCCACATGTATCTGTCAGAAAGGGCACAGTGGCAGGTTTTATGTTACTGCTACAGATATGTGAGTAGCCAGCATCTGCTCAGGGGCAACGTGTGTGCGTGCTGCACAGACCCCGGACATGTAACTGGAAACGCTGTGTTCATTCTTGTGAAGGGCTCTGCACGCTCTCACTCGCCCTCTGCTCTATTTACCACCATTTTTCTGTAAGAGATCTCTCTGAAGTTTAACACTCATGTAAACAGACATTACAACTTTTAACACTTAGACCTACAATATAAAAGCTACTAACTGTTTTTTACCTATTATAGTACTATTATGATGTTTGGAAGTCATAAACCTGGCTTAATAAATAAAACAAAGAGTAAAGAAAAAAATCACAGCAGGCTATAGCAATGAGATTCAGCTTTTTACCAATCTGACTTCAGTTAAATTATATCTGGTTGATATAAGTTGCTGTATTTTGTATATCACTTCTATCTGTAATTTTATAGTACAATGTAGCTAACAGTTTACACTGTAGTAACCTCAGTATAAAAAAAAGCATATCTCACCCTCTACTTCTAAATATAGTAGCACAGCTATTTTTGGTATCCGTTGCATCACAAAAGGCAGTTAATAAATATGACAGGATGTGTACTTTCTAGTGCCACTGGCAATGTGATAACAGCTGATTCTCTTTGGAAAACTTAAAGTAGAACCAGGGGCGGACTGACAACTCATGGGGCCCCCGGGCAATAGGGGATCATGGGGCCCCTGTGTCCTTGCCCAAACTCAAAAAAACCTATGAAAAAGGTACCAGGGGCATCTCATGGGGCCCCCTACTGACCCCGGGCCCTCAGGCAGTGCCCGAGTTTCCAAATGGTCAGTCCGCCCCTGAGTAGAACTAAATCCTCCAATCCATTACAGCCAAGGAAGCTTCCATTCTTGCCTTTGTTTGATCTGCAGTTGCCATGGTTCTGCATATGTGATCAGTTGTGACACCAACCATTTGATGGCCTGGCAGTTTAATTGAGAGCACAAACAGCAATGGTGGTCAGTGTACAAGTGCCCTCCTACATGTGAGGTCAGTGGGAAGACTGCCCACTTACAATGGGGGTCAGTGGGAAGAATGCCCCCTTATGTTGGTAGTCAGTGAGAGGAAAAGTACCTCCTAAAATTGGTGGTATTTAAGAGGGAAAACACCTTGGCATTGGTGGTCAGTGATAGAATTACAGCTCCAGCATTAATAGTCAGTAGGGAGAAGAATGTTCTCTTACACTGGTGGTCAGTGAGAACAGGATTGCCCAAACATTGGCAAACAGTGTGTCCTAGACATCATTGGTGATCAGTAGAACCAAGACTGCACAAACCTTGTGTGATGGAGAATGGCCCAGCATGGGCATCAGTAAGAGGAAGAATGACCCAGCATAGGTGTTACTATGAAGATAATAATAAAAAAAATTATAATTAATTAACACAGCTCATTATAAATAAAGTCCATGTATCTAGTGCTTCATGCTCGTGTACTTCAATAACAGTGTCACATGCTCTGAGAAATCCAGTGCAAATATCCCCTGCCTTGAAACAAATTCCAATCACGTTGTGCTCGGTATTTCCTCCCCTGTTCACTCTTCATTCACCAGATAAGATGGACTCTTAGCTTTGTGGGCTTAAGAGTCAAAAAACTCTTTTCTCTGTTGGGTTCTGGTGGGCTTAAGAGTAAAAAAAAATCTTTTCTCTGGTGGGCTCGCAGGTGTTTCCAGGATTCAATAGAGTACCGGAATAGCAAAGGTTCAACCCGTCAGTGTATTCTGTTTACCATAAGATATGAACTAAAGGGAAGCAAAAGGAACACTAATAGTGTAATACTGTCATGCCATTTATTAGCTGTGATAAAATACATATTACATTCACATTCCAGAAACAACAAATAGTCTTGTAATAATAATGTAGTATCCTCAGATATACTCAAAAAGGTGATGAAGTATCCTAAAAAAATGGCTCCAGAACTCTGCTGGTGCGTGTGCACTCCACTCACCGGACGTGCCATTACTCCAAACAACGCGTTTCCCCCCTCCCTACAGGGCGTCCTCGTATATAATAATCTCCGGTTCCCGTCTTCTTTATATCACTTTCCTGAAAGACCTCCCATTCTAGTGACCCACTTCCTACTATGCATTTCCTGAAGGGTGTAATGACTTCAAAACCTATATTGTAGTATTCTACTTCCTACACCCGCCCATTCCCGTTACTGAATCCCTCATATTTACATATAAAAATTACACTTTTTTTAAACCTTAATAAAAAGTAAGTAAATAAATAAACGATAACACACAAAAATAAAGTATAAAAAGCAGTATATGACATGGATGCATTTGCTAAAATGGAAATATATCTCAAGGGATTAAAAATTTATATAAATTATATTAAAAAATTATATAAAAAATGAGTAATAAAATCTATCAATAATAAAATAAAAATACCCTAGAAAAACATATAGACAATAAAATTTTAATATGTATTCTAAGTGAACCTACAAGATCACTCAGCAAGCATACTCTTGGTGAACTTACGTATGATTACTTTTTACCACTTGGACAGGAAACAATTCCAATCTATTTCTACATTTAAGGGCTCATGTACATTGCAGCTGATAAACTCACATTCAGGAGCTTTTCTGTTTTTTTTTTTTTGCAGCCCCTGAACTCTCCCTAATGTTTTCCTATATTTCCTAGTACGCTATGTCATTTACAGTCCTTTACAGGTAGTTGAGCTTAGAGTCGTTTTTTTGAACGTACCAAACTTGCGTTCAGGAGTAGATTTTATCAGCGTTTCAAATGCCAAATGCTTGTAAATGCGTGTAAACTCGGCTAACCGCGTTTATAAGCGTTTGCGTTTAGAAGCATTTTTTAACTATTCCATATCCAGATGCTGTCCAGAGCCTTTTTTCATCATCAGAAATGCATGAAAAGTGTTTTCCATGTATTCAAATGGACCTAGTATACCAGTACAGTCAGTTCCAGGTTTTATGTGAAGGAAAAAAATGGTAGAACGTGCTGCATTATGCTCATGATGGGATCCAGGGTCCTTATAATGAAACTTCTTAAAATGGTTAGATAAACTCTGGTGGCTAAATCCTTTTTGATGTTTTTATGTTCACTTAAATGGACTCCAAGTTTCCTTGTTGTTCTCCCCACATATTGCAATTTGCAAAGACATTCTAAAAGGTAAGTGACAGGGGTGCTTACACATGAAATAAGTTTTTTAATCTTGAAAACTTTTCCTTTTGTATGCAATTTAAATTTCAGTTCTCCTTATTCTATTTTTTACTATTATACATGCTAAACATCTTCTACAGCTGAAAAAATCTACTTGATCTAAAAAGTACCTATTTTTTTTTTTTTGGGGGGGGGTCGATTAGTTTTTGCTAATTTATTTCTCAGTGTGCGTGGTTTTGTATAAATGAATTGTTGTGTCTTTGGCAATATTTTTTTGAGCATTTCATCCTGCAAAAGAATTGGCCAGTATTTTTTACAAACTCCTACAAACTTATGTTGTCGAGTATACCTCATAATAGACACTATTCCTGTGGATGCATGTCTCCTTCCATGCTGCTCTGGTTCTGACATTGGCGCAGGTACTGTCTGTCAGTGAATCGGACCAGGTACCCAAGTGTAGCAACACCCGTGCATGCGCCTCCTGTTTGCTGGCACCTGTGGCAGACTGCTCCAGTTGCCTTGCCTTTTGGTATCCTGCTGTGCTAAAGCATCATTCAATGAGCAGGAGCAGGACAGTTGACAGTTGAATTGCTGAACTAGAAAGGATTATTTGGTTAATTAGGAACTATTGGGAAGATTTACTAAAACTGTCTCACTCAGAATCTGGTACAGCTCTGCACGGTAGCCAATCAGCTTCTAACTTCAGTTTCTTCAATTAAGCTTTGACAATAAGGCTCCATGTACACAGTGCATTTGGAGACCTCTTCTGAACGCTGGAAATTGACAGCAGGAAAACGCAGGTTAAAAAATGTCAGTTTTGTCGTGCTTGCATATCGCGTTTATGTGTGTTTAGCCGTTTATGAGCATTTGAGTTCAGAAGCATTTTTTAAAGATAAGCACAGGAGAACCTCCCAAATGCCTGGAATGCACTGGAAAATGGTAAATTATTAACTATTTCAGACTGTTTGAGAGAAATAGAGTGAGTAGAAGCAGAGAGAGCAGTATTTGATGAGATTAGCTGTATTTTTTGTTGTTGTGGTGTTTGGATGTGTTCCAGCTCGTTTCTGTGCAGAAATTACTGCAGCAGTGTCTAACATATTTTATTTCATGCGAAACCTCAAAGTATGGTGTACCAGGTCCATTTGAGTACCGGGAAAACACTTTGCATGCATTTTTCATGATGAAAAAAGGCTCTGGACAGCATCTGGAAATGGAAGAGTTAAAAAAAATTTCTAACCGCATTTATAGGCATTTGCGTTTGAAATTTTTTTTTAACTCTTCCATTTCCAGATGCTGTCCAGAGCCTTTTTTTCATCATGAAATGCAAAGCGTTTTCCCGGTACTCAAATGGACCTGGTATACCATACTTAGAGGTTTTGCATGAAAGAAAATATGTTAGACACTGCTGTAATAATTTCTGCACAGAAATGAGCTGGAACACATCCAAACACCACACACAAAAAAAAGACAGCTAATCTCAACAAATAATACTGCTTCTGCTCTCTCTATTTCTCTCAAAATGTCTGAAATAGTTAATTTTTTACAGTTTTTATTAGTGCATTCTGGGCATTTTGGAAGGTCTCCTGAGGTTATCTTTAAAAAACGCTTCTAAACGCAAACACTCATATTTGCGCATAAACGCGGTATGCAAAAGCGGCTAAACAGACGATTTTAACCTACATTTTCTAGCAGTCAGTTTCCATCATTCAGAAGTGTCCCGTGTACATGGAGCCTAAACGACATAGTGTACAATAATTAGGGAGAGTTCAGGGGCTGCTAAAAAGATTCAGAAAAGCTCCTGAACGTGAGTTTATCAGCTGCAGTGTACATGGAGCCTAAAACCTGATAGTGTATCAGTTTATATGCACAGCTGCTTCAGATATTGTATGTTCCACTTTTAGTAAATCTCCCCCCTTAGTGTCTCATGGAAAACCATACAGATGTATATATCTCCATTGTGTACATAGTTGTTGCATGAACAAAGCTAGCCGAAACATATCCAAGAGTTTAATTGTTGCTGACAGATTGCCTTTTATTTTTTGAATAAGCATATGAAACAGTGTATCCTGCAGAGAAGCAATCTTTGGTCTATCCACCTTCCATTACCCAAAGAACAGGGACAGATTTGATTATTATCCATCAGCTCATCTCCCCACAGTCATTACCTTTTCTATCAAATGACCCTGCCTTTTAGATTGTAAGCTCTAATGAGCAGGGCCCTTTGTTTCCTACTGTATTAAATTGTATACAGTTGCAAGAAAACGTATGTGAACCCCTTGGGATTACGTGGAGTTTTGCATGAATTGGGCATAAAATGTGCTCTGAACGTCATCTAAGTCACAACAATAGAAGAACACAGTCTGCTGAACATAATACTACACAAACATTAGATGTTGCCATGGTTTAATTGCACATAACATGTAAACATTCAAAGTGCAGGGAGGAAAAAGTATGTGAACCTTTGGACTTAATAACTGGTTGACCCTTTGGCAGCAATAACCTCAACCAAACGTTTCGTGTAGTTGCAGATCAGACCTGCACAACGATCTGGAGTAATTTTGGACCACTCCTCTTCACAAAACTGTTTCAGTATAGCAATATTCTTGGGATGTCTGGTGTGAATCGCTCTCTTAAGGTCATGCCACAGAATTTCAATCGGGTTGAGGTCAGGACTCTGACTGGGCCACTCCAGAAGGCGTATTCTGTGCTGTTGCAGCCATTGTTTTGTTGAATTACTTGTATGCCTTGGGTCATTGTCCTGTTGCATCACCTATCCTCTGCGGAGCTTCAGTTGGCAGACAGATGGTCGTACGTTTTCCTGCAAAATGTCTTGATAAACTCTGGAATTCATTTTCCCATCAATGACAACAATCCGTCCAGGCCCTGAGGCAGCAAAGCAGCCCCAAACCATGATGCTCCCTCCGCCATGTTTTACAGTGGGGATGAGGTTTTGATGTTGGTGTGCTGTGCCTTTTTTTTCTCCACACATAGTGTTGTGTGTTCTTCCCAAACAACTCAATCTTGGTTTCATCTGTCCACAGTATATTTTGCCAGTAGTGCTGTGGAACATCCAGGTGCTCTTTTGCAAACTTCAAACGTGCTGCAATATTCTTTTTAGACAGCAATGGCTTCCTCCGTGGTGTCCTCCCATGTACTCCATTCTTGTTTAATGTTTTCCTTATTGTAGATGTGTCAACAAAAATGTTAGCATGTGCCAGAGATTTCTGTAGGTCTTTAGCTGACACTCTGGGATTCTTCTTTACCTCATGCAGCATTCTGCGCTGTGCTCTTGCAGTCATTTTTACAGGACGACCACGCCTGGTTGTCAGAAATGCTAGGTCTTCTGAGAGCTCTTTTCTGCGAGGCATGGTTCACATCAGACAGTGCTTCTTGAAACCAGTAAACCCAAAACAGGTGTGTGTTTTTAAGGGCAAGACAGCTGTCAGCAACACATCCAATATCATCACACTGATTGGAGTCAAGGTTGGCTCACTTCTGGCTCCAATTAGCTCTGGGAGAAGTCATTAAGCTAGGGCCTCACATACTTTTTCCTCCCTGCACTTTGAATGTTTACATGTTATGTGCAATTAAACCATGGCAACATCTAATGTTTGTGTAGTATTATGTTCAGCAGACTGTGTTCTTCTATTGTTGTGACTTAGATGACGTTCAGAGCACATTTTATGTCCAATTCATGCAAAACTCCACGTAATCCCAAGGGGTTCACATACTTTTTCTTGCAACTGTAGTAATTGTGCTGTCTGCCTTCATGTTGTAAAGCTCTGCGCAAACTGTTGGCGCTATATAAATCCTGTATAATAAAACTAATTAGAGTCTAAAAACCACACCACATTTTTGCCTCAATACCACCAGCAACAGGACTACAAATGAGATCACTCACCTGCTCCCTTGCTGTCATTCCCCTAATAGCAGACGTGCTGCAGAATCTGACCCACCAGTGAGGGACAGCAATGGAGCAACACATAGTTGGATAAGTCATTGAGGGAGAAAAGTGTTTTCAGTGTGGCAGGGAAATTGTAACCAGCCACATGATCACAAGTATGAAATGACCTTTAATATACCATGAATTATTGCTTTAAATGGCATGCTGCATACTGAGTGTAAAAACAAGAGTTGAAGCCTGGGTTCACACTTCTGCGGTGTGGCACATCGCATGTGATGCACACAGAAATGGCACCGCATTATTGTGCAAATCACAGGCAATTTCTGTGCGGTGCAATTTGAGCCTTACATTATGTATGGCTCAGACCACACCACATCTGCAGCAAAAAGTGCAGGACCCTTTTTTAGTCCGCACCAGAATTGGAACGCATGGGTCTTCACACCTACGCAATCTGATTCTGCACATAAGCACAGCGTTTTGCAAACTGATTTTGGGGTGTCATTAACTTAAAATACACACCAGCAGTGGTTTGTATGAATGGGGTGCGATTATGATGCGGTGCGGAAATTTCTCAAAAACCGGTGCGAATTCTGCACCATATCAGTGTGAACCAGGGCGACGGCTATGCTAGTCAACAAAGATTTTACTGTAGGTGCTGCAGTTACTAGGAGTGTGATAAGGGAGGCCTTGCTGATCCATTCTGATGTCATGTTTAAAGTCTCCTGGACACACTAGTGCAGCTCAATCAACGATCCTCACTGATCCTTCAAAAGTGAATGAGATTTGTAGGAAGTAAACCTCTTTTATTGGATTTTCACTTGCTGGATGACAGATTTGCTTAGGAAGCAATGACAGGAAATGATGACAACTATAGATAACAGGACTGATAATTTGTTATCTCCTCCTTGTGGCAAATTACTTTCCACCTTTCACAACAAAGTGATTATTCTGTCCCCAGGCCACCAAATGCTGACATTGAAATAAGGAATGGCTTAAATCATCAGAATTTGGAATTTTATGTAATAATAAGTGAAATACATGCTTTGTAATGATGTATGATATAGCAAACATTTAGATCTCCAATTACAGATATTTTGTCTTCTGTTGTATTTCATAGTAATCTGTACATTTATAGTAAGTAGGCATAACTGTCATAAGTCCAAAGGCATGCTGGTAGGTGCATTGGATCCTGTCTAAATTGTCCCTAGTATGTGTATGTATGAATGTGAGTTATGAACCTTAGATTGTACACCCCTTGAGGGTTAGGGACCGATGTGAATGTACAATATATATGTAAAGCTCTGCGTAAATTGACGGCGCTATATAAGTACCTGAAATAAAATAATAAGAGAAGCATGGAGGCTACCATTGATGACTTCTCCTTCTGACAATGCTAGTAGACCTGCTGTCATTTTATTCTTTGGCTTCAGTAATGTAAACAGGCTGGTAGATAAGGACTTCTTACTTAAACCAGCCATAGACGGTTCGAGTCTCGTTCAGTTCAGGAGAAATTGGCTGAGATTTGAACCATGTATAGGCAGGCTGAATGTATCCACGTTGATGAATTAATCAACCTGGGTACAGCGTGCCTGATGGATTTTACATGTGATTATTGCTAGAGGCTGTTATAGCCACTAGCAATAATCACTGTGTTCTCACGGCAGGGACAACTTACCTTGTCCCCCGCTGGGAGAACACAATAACTCAGCAGGAAGGATTGCCCCGACAACACTGGCTGTGGTTCCATGGTTGCAGGAAAGAAAATTGCTCCATCTATAGCCAGCCTTACTCTTAAGCTGGCCATAGATGGATCAAAATCAGCAAGCCAACTTTCAATTCACGCGTGGCCATCCCTGTTTAACAGAAGTTGATCATTAGATCAACTGCCAAACAGACATACTGGAAAACGTTTGTTGATCAACAACTACAGCCAATGGGCTGCAGACACTGATCAATGTATTCTGACAGTAAAGTCTCACTGCCAGAATATAATGTCCCGGCCGGGGGAGTTTCCTCCATCCACCTCATTTGTGTTGATGGAAGAATATGTTTGGCTTTTTTTATGTTCAGCCTGCTGGCTGTCAAAAAACTTAACCATCTATGGCCAGCTTTACTCTGCCTTTCCTGATCTGCATTCTTGCTTCAGATCATGGAATTAAAGTTCTGAATTCAGAGGATCAGTATATCAGCCAGTCATCTAGCATATTCAGAAGATGGTCAGAAATGGCAGCCCCATATTTTTTCTTGGCAAGTTTACAAATACAGTATTACATTTTGTTCCTGTTTATCAGCTTTGTTCTAATGTAACACTACAAGATAGCAGCAGCTGAGTGACAGGGAATGTTTTGTTATTGTATTACAGGCATTATCATTTCCTAGACCCAAATTAACAAGTACATTGTAGCTAATGTATCAGCAACACTTTAATCAAAGTAAAATGCCACCCCTTCACAATAAACCAGCACACCATGTGTTCTGTTGTGGTGTGTTTGCAGCCC